AGAGTTTGTATTCATGTGTTAATTAAACTGATTTTTTATGTTCTTTTAAATTGCATTTCTATATTCTTTGTAAAACCGAACTATAACAAAAAGAACTCTTTTAAATTATTTTCAATCAAAATTTAGACAAGGGTAAGAAACGCTCTCGGAATCCCTTGAGTTTCTAGGAATTCAAAATGCACAATAGCATAGGTTTTATATCAACTGCGTTTCACATCTTAGCCTTATCACATTCTTACAATCTCAAGTCTGATCACATTTTTTATAATAAATACATTATACTTCTTCCGTTTCAAAATGTAAGTTGTTTTGGAGGTTTTTTTATTTTCAAAATGTAAGTTGTTTTGGAGGTTGACAGGGGTCTCCGCTGCATCAACTTTACAGACCGTCTTGTCTTGCTCAACCCAATATCAGGGAAGTTCAGAGTTATCTCTCTCTTAGACATTAACTTCGAGGGGAACATAGGTCGAAGGTCTTGTTACTTGGGTTTTGCGACCCCATCTGGCCAAATCAGCATTCTATGTGTCACAAAATCAATGAATTTGGTTCAACCTCTCAAACAGATGTAATATATGTTTTAGTAGTTTGTAATGATTGTAACATTGATTCCTTTTAGTTAATATTTTGTAAAATTATTTAATAATTTCTTTATAATGTTTTTATTTGCTAAAAGACAATAATAAAATTTTTGTAGTTGTTAAACTAAAACCAAACTATTTTCAAAACTGCCATCTTACCCATTTTCCCATGTTTAATGTCTTAAAACAATATAAACAAATAACAGCATTCTCCTATCTTTTATGTCTTTGTTTTTTTTACTCCTTTGTTTTTCTTGTAAAAGTAGGTTTTTCATGGCTTAACAATATGTTCAACAAAATTTGAACTTGCATTGAAATCTAAAGTAAAATGCCAAGCATTAAATTCATACGACCGATAAAAAAGTGGTGATAGAGTAACTAATGTCGTTATATATACTTTAACTGCTTTATACGATGGAGATATAAATGATAAGAACATGTTTTAGAGTGATAATTGATGATTGTTTTTCTTAAAAAAACACAATTGGTCACTAAAGATTGATATAAGAATTCATTACTAGGGATCAAACAAACGGATGGAGAAATCAACCCCATAGTTATGGCAATCTTTATAAAAAATAGTTATGAAGAGAGAAGTCTAATCAGATTAAAATATCAAAAACCGTTTTTGGGTATTGTTAATTGGACAGTAGTTTAAGTTATTTTTTTTTTTAAGAATAGTTTTAGTTGTTGACATCTAGGACTACGCCATCTGATTAGAGTAAGTTTTACGTAAACCAATAATTACATGGAGAATAAAGCACCAAGTATTAAAAGTTATATGTTGAACCCGGATAATCGATACATTTTCTAAATGTTTGTAACCTACAAAATGTTGTTGGACATGAGTTAGAGAACAGAGATGTCTCTTGTTAGTGTTAGTGTTAGTGTTATATGTACTTGTATAACATTAACGAGTTTGTACTTAAAATTAGTTGTTATATATGAATGGAGATGTATTAATCCTTGTTTAGTATTTGCATTATTACATCGATTAAGTTTCTAACTATTTTATAAGAAACTATAACAACATAATATACTTAAAAAATGGATCCAATGGTATGTTGTGTGAAAAAACAACCACCGGTCACAAAAGTATCTAAATTGGGGAAATTGACTTCGTAAATGATAAAAGATGTTGCTGCATCAACTATGAAAAGATTTATCCTCTTGCTCAACCCAACTTCAGAGCAATCAAAAATCAAAAACTTTTGCATTAACTCAGTGATATAATGTCTACAATTTGGAAGAGACTAAACTACCAAAAGGGTTTTCATTTCCTAGATAACAATAACAAGAGTGTGTATTGAAGGAGTACTCTACTATTGTAGTAACAGTGTGATGAAATGTGATTTTGTCCATAAATCTTAAGAGTAGAGTTTCTTTACTTTTGGAGAGAATTAAGAGTAGCAAACTTCCATGGAAAATTTGCTATTGGATATTGCAAAGTATGAAACAATTCTCTTACCTTTGGATCATCGAGTCTTCTTGTTCTTGGTCCACCACCATCATCTCTACACTACCTTTCTCAAAAGATGTTGAGGACAAGGATTATGTTTTATGTTTTTTAAGCATATTTGATTTGAATGCTTTGTTTACTATATAGCTTGTATGAGTTTTGAATGTTTTGTTTATTATGTAGATTGTATGAATTTTGAAGAGTTTTTATTCATGTGGTTAACTAAATTGTTTTTTTTGTTAGCTTACAATAATAAAAAGAAGGATCAATTTGACAAATAGTTATATTGGGTTGTGAAATTAAAGATATAGTTATGCTATTGTCCGTAATAAAACAATTAACCATGTAAGTGTATGGTAAGACTATTTTATCCCTACCCAAACATCATCGTTTTCTCCAATTTCTTTTATATATCTCTTTGTACTTGCAATTTCCAGAACAGTCAAGCACATAAAACACACATATCTATACGTTTAGATCATGACAAATCATCGAATTCAACAAATCCAATGTCGATGTTTGATTTTGAAAGATAAATGTTTAGAGGAATTGGATATGTGTGACTTTCATATCTAACTATGTTGAAACGAGCTACTTTTAGTGGAGGTAGAAGGAGTCACCATTGATAGGGGAAGAGAAAAAAGTAGAGACTTGATGGAGAAAATGATAGGTGAAAATTGTAAATAATACATAATATATAGATTATCATAACTAGATTTTTCTTGTTACATCCTTAGTTATATTTTTTTATTAGTTAATCTTGCTATTCTCCTAAAATTAACTCTTTAAATCACTTTCAATCCAAATTTAGACAAGTTATTTGTTTGGATCTTATCCACTCGTAGCATGTTTGGATCTTATCCACTCTTAGCAGCAGCGCAGATTAGCCAAGTGTTGTTATGTCGAAATTTACAATTTTTTCTTTTACTCGGTGGGTTTCGCTTTGGTCCATCTCCAGTTCGATTTTGTTCCATTCTTGGTATTGTGAGATCGACACTACCTAGACTAGATCGTATTCACTTTCTATCTAAACGTTTAAAAGTCTTTTCACCATCAGATTATGAAACTAAAGAAATTCTAGATTTGAGATGTACATTTTAATCACTATAGAAAGTTTTCGTTTTCGGTTTTTTGACATGGTTTTGGCATCATCGGTAAATATCTATCAAAGCTTATCTAAGATTTAAGATAAGCTGCAAAGTTTGGTGTGATCCCCGTTGTTTGTTTTATTCAATCTATTGTATGTTATTGTTCTGTAGTCTAGAGAATGTTTTTTTAAAGAAACTGGATTGTATAGCAAAATAAATTAGCAAAAATCACCTATTATTTTTCAAAAGAATCTTAGAGTTTTTTTGTTATTTTGCTAATTTGCCTATAACTTTTTTGTTATGTATAGTATAGCTAACTATTTTTTTTTAAATAATCTCTTATGCTTCTGGAAAATTAGTTCATCGGCGTAGATCTTTTAGCTTTGTTCCTTTTGTTTGTATATTTGGGTTTCTAATGGATTATTATATATACTAGGAGATAATCCGCGTGTACACGCGAGATTGCTGTTTTGTAATATTCTGTTTTA